GCCCTCACTCCCCCAAAACGATCGAAATCGCTATCATCGAACTCGCTATCCGCCCTCCTCGCCATCCACCTCCCAACGATCGAAATCGCTATGCGATCGAACTCGCTATCCGCTCTAATCGCCCTGCGCGCCCCAGCGATCGAAATCGCCATGCGATCGAACTCGCTATCTGCCTCCCTCGCCCACCACCCCCCAACGGTTGAAACCGCTGCTCGGTCGTGCCTCTCACCCCTCATCCATCATTGATCCACCATCTCCTTCAACATCCCTCCCTCCGTTTTTCGCCCCCGAGATCGGCGCCCCAACCGCCGACGCATCAGGGTTCATTTGACATTGCCAGCCGCCCGCCATCGCCGCGCGGGCGGCCGGCGGCGCGGCGGGCGGCGGGCGGCGCGGCGGGCGGCGGACTGCCAGCCCCGCGGCCCGCCGAAAGTGTCATCCCCAACTCAACGCCCTCCCGACCGCACACGGGCCCGCTCTGGCGCGCCTCCCGAGCCACTCCTCGGCCGCCGCCGCTGCGGGCCACGCGAGCCGCGCGCGGGCCCCATCCTCGGCTGCCGCCGCGGCCCGCTGAGGGCGTTATCCTCAGCGCCCCCCCGACCGCACTCGGGCCCGCGCTGGCGCGCCCCCCGAGCCCCTCCACGGCTGCCGCCGCCGCGGACCGCGCAAACCGCGCGCGGGCTCCTCCTCGGCCGCCGCCGCTGCGGGCCCCTCCCGCGGCTGCCGCGTGCGACGTTGCGTCCATCGCGCACCGCCCGCCTTGCTCGCCTTGGCCACCCACTTCTTGGCCGCTGCGATCGCCTTCTCGCTGCTGCCATACTTCGCGAACTTCAGCGCCACCGACTGGCCCGGTCCGCGCTGGCCTGTCCTGCAGAGGACCTGGGACCTGCTCCACTCGACGCTGAACGACGGTTTCGCTGTCTTATGGAGCTTGCCGGCCTTGCCTTCCTTGCATATATTGCTCGCATTGCCTTTCGCGTCCTTATTGTCTTCATTGCCCTTCTTGTCCTTCTTCCCCGTCTTGGACCTCTTGCCCCTCCGAGGTGGTGGAAGTCATCTACACCGCTGCCCCCCCCCCCCTCGCCCCCAACTGGGGCATTAGGTAACATGTCCCCCCGTTGGGGGGTGACTTTATCTACCGCGCTCCCCATCGGCCCTTCTGGCCCCCTGGCGCTGTGGATGACTTCCTATCCCTTGCCTTCGCGATCTTGACAGCCGCCCCCGTCGTCTCGGCCTCGGCGTCGCCGCCGTCGGAGTGGTCGCGCTCGCCGTCGGAGCCGTCGGCGTGGTCGCTCTTGTCGTCGGGCGTTTTTTGTTCCCCCCTTTCAGCCGCGATAGGGTTTTGTCCCCGGCCTCCTCCGCGGAGACGCGACTCGCGCGCAGCTCGCCTTTGGCGCGCCATGTGCGCTGGGAGCGCTGACATCGCTGATCGGAAGGACTGGTTGCGCCGACGGCTGGCGTCGCCTGTGGCTGACGGCCCCGGCGTCGCCGCGGTCGCTCCACTCGGCGAGCTGCGTCGCGAGGCCCATCGACGGCGACGCAGTCATCGCCTTGAGCCTCGCCTTGCTCTCGCGCATGGGGGCGCCGTCCGCGAGCGCGAGGAACTGCGCGGCGTCGAGCGGGGAGGTCCACGGGGCCAGCTTTGCTGAACACTCGAATGTAGATCTCGCCGTGGACCCCGGTGAAATCTGCCGGCCTCGCAGGGGGCGCCGCCGCGAGCGACGACTGCTTGCGCGCCTTCCGCGGGGTGAGCTTCCCGGCGCGCGTCTTCGCCCTCTTGAAGAAGCCCCGGGAGAAAACGGGGCGCTGGCGCAGTTTTCAATCGACGCCTTGCACCTGCAAGGCGACGCAGGTCGCCGCCTGGACCGTCGGCTCGTTCACGGCGCGCCACCCGAGGGCCTCGCGGTGCTGGAGCACGACCCCAACGCGGCCCAGGAAGTCGCTGCCCTCATCCAGGATGACTTCCCACTGCTTCGCCGCCAGGTAGGCAGCGATGGCAGCGAGACCCTGCTGGGGCGCGCGCGACGAGCTGAGCAGCTGCCCGCTCGCCGCCGCGCTGGCCCGCAGCACCCTCGCCGAGGCCGTCGCGAGCGAGGCGGCCGCCGCGAGGGGCTCACCCCGCTTCTTCGCATCGAAGGGCAGCGCGGCGATCGCCGCCGCGAGCTCGGCGGAGTCCTCGGCGGCAATGAACGTCCACGACTGCATCGTGGACGACGCCGCGGTGGCCTGGGCATTCAGGAGCTCCTGCCACGCCTCGCTGCACTTCGGGAGCTTCGCGAGGAAGCTGGTGGCGGCCCTGAGCTGCGCCAGCACCTCTTGGACGCCCGACATCGCGAGCTGCGCCTGCAGCCGCTCAAGCGATCGCAATCGCCACCCTCGCGATCGCCAGCGCGAAGCAGCTCCTACGCCGCGGGGCGCCTGGAAGGGGAGGGCGCGCCGCGCTACGCGGCGCGCTGCCCCCCGCAGTGCCGATTGGCGCCCTGCGCGCGGCTCGCGACGCGCGCTACACCGCGCGCGCAGCCCAAAACGGCTGCAGCACAGACGTGCGTCAACTTCCCTCTCCTTGTCCTCCCTCGAGCGATCGCAATCGCTACACTCCATCATCCCACAACCTTCCACGAGCGACCGCTATCGGTATCTCCCTCATCACCTTCCCCCTCCTCCTCCTCCTCCTCCCCCAGGCGATCGCAATCGCTACCCTCCATCATCCCACAACCTTCCCCAACCGATCGCTATCGCTATCTCATCCGTCAACTTCCCCCTTCTCTTCCTCCTTCAAGCGATCGCAATCGCTACCCTCCATCATCCCACAACCTTCCTCAAGCGATCGCTATCACTATCTCCCCATCAGCTTCCCTCGTTTCTTCCTGCCCTCAAGCGACCACAACCGCTACCCTCGATCACCCCACCTACCTTCCTCGAGCGATCGCAATCGCCGCCCTCCATCACCCCGCAACCTTCCTCAAGCAATCGCTACCGCTATCTCTCCCATCAGCTTCTCTCACCTCTTCCTTCCTCGAGCGATCGCAATCGCTACCCCCTATCACCCCGCAACCTTCCTCAATCAATCGCTATCGCTATCTCCATCATAAACTTCCCTCTTCTCTTCTTACCCCTAGCGATCGCAGTCGCCACCCTCCATCATCCCACAACCTTCCTCAAGCGACCGCGATCGCTATCTCGCCAGTCAACTCTCCTCTCCTCTTCCCCCCTCAAGCGATCGTAACCGCTACCCTCCATCATCCAACAACCTCCCCAAGCGATCGCTATCGCTATCTCCTCCATCAACTTCCCTCTCCTCATCCTTCAAGCGATCGCAATCGCTATTTCCGTGATCCCACAACCTTCCCCAAGCGACCGCTATCGGTATCTCCCTCATCACCTTGCCCCTCCTCTTCCTTCCTCAAGCGATCGCAATCACTACACTCCATCATCCCACAACCTTCCCCAAGCGATCGCGATCGCTAGCTCCTCCATCAACTTCCCTCGCCGTATCCTCTTTCGAGCGATCGCAATCGCTACCCTCCATCATCCCACAACCTTCCCCAACCGATCGCTATCGCTATCTCCTCCAGCAATTTCCCTCGTCTCTTCCTCCTTCAAGCGATCGCAATCGATGCCCTCCATCATCCCACAACCTTCCTCAAGCGATCGCTATCGCTATCTCCCCCATGCTCTGGAGGAGAGGAGCAGGATGAGGTGGAGGCAGAACAAGGAAGACAAGGGAGCAAGGGAGGTTGGTCTGCACGGTTTCACTTGCCACGGCGGCGACCCGCGAACTCATTGGGCAGGGGGGCCGATTCCAGGCGCGCGAGTCGCGGAGGGGGCTGAGTGGAGCATAGGCTTAAGTACTTAGTGCTACTTAATAAGTAACTTAGCTCGCTGCCCAAAAGAAGACACATTCTTAGATGTAGCACAAGTGTAGTTACAAAACCCAGCAAACACTTACATCGCTTAAATAATTATTACACAACTTGCGCCACTTACACCAGAACAAAAGTAACTTCAGTCCAGCCACAACTAGTCCTTAAGTAGCATAAGAGGCGCCAACCTCTAAATGCGGGTGGGGGGGGGTCCCGGGAGGGGTCCCGGGGGGGGGGTCCCGGGGGGGGTCCCGCGTCGGGGTCCTGGGCCCATGCAAAGCCTCAGACGGGGTAAGAGCCGAGGCATTCTATACCGCGCCCCAACCCCGGCCCCAGCCCCAGTCCAGCTCCAGCCCTGGCTCCGCTTCTGGCCTCGGCCTCGGCCTCGGCCGGCCCGAGTCCCAGCCCTGGCCCCGTCCCTGGCCCCTGCCCTGGCCCCGGCCAGTCTCGGCTCCCGCTACCCCGCCGGCCCCGGCCCCGGACCCAGTCCTGGCCTCGGCCCCGGCACCGGCCTTGGCCCCGGCCGGCCCCGACCCGGCCCCGGCGCCCTCCAAATCTAACTACACCTCCGTGGCCTCCCAGATGCCCAAGATGCCGAACCTAGCTTCAAAACAGCGAACGAAGCCTGGAAGTCGCCCCAGGAGGGCTTCAAGACGCCCCGAATGATCCTGACAGGCAACCGGCGTCGCCGTCAACTTATCTCCCTCCTTCTCCTCCTCCTGATCGCCACGCTCTACTCGCCCCTGCCCTCAAGTATTCCTTCGTGCCCCCCCCGCGGCCCCGTTCGCCTCACTCTCCTCCTATTCATTCCCCCCCTGTGTTCCTACTCCTCCTCATCCACCTCTTCCTCCTGTCCCCCTCATCATCTTCCTCCCCATGCTCCGCGCCGTCCTCCCCAACCTCAGGTTCGGCGGCACTGGCCGTAAGGCCTTCGCAATAAGAACCGCTTGGGCAAGCCTAATGGGAGAATGGAATAATGATACGGAGACTACTACGGAGGGGTAGACCGACACGAAGTGTAGGAGGGAAGAGGCGGTGCCGCAACTGTCTCTGTCTGCTTTCCGCCGACGGCGGCCGCACCGACCCGCGGCGACGGTGATCGTGAAGGGCATGAGGGATGTCAACTAAGCTCCCCGCGTGGCGCAGCAAAAGCTTCCACTGGCGTCGAAGGCACGGGCCCCTGCGGAGGAGAAAACAAAACGTGAATGACTTGTTTGATCGTATTTCTGGTAACGGTCGTCACCAGGGGAGGGGTGACGGGGGGTGGTAACGCTTGAGAGGGGTGGGGTGGGGCACCTCGGGGCGGAGGCGCGCTGCGCTCGCCACAGTATGCGCGCGAGCACATGCACGTTGGGGGGTTGAGGCCCCCAGTCTACGTACGATCGTTATCGTTACCCCATGGGGGGAGGTTTTTGGCCCAGGTGGCGACCGCTACGCGCCAGAGAAGGAAACTCAACCTCAAGTGAAGCAGCATCGGCAGCAGGATGGCGAGCAGCACGAGCACAAGGAGGGCGTGGAGGAACAAGAAAGAGGAATCGAAGTCACGCTCGTCGGCTCGACCGAACCAGCGGGCTCCGCTAACTCCCTCCCTCCCTCCCTCCTGTTCGGGCGTTGCTTAACAGGGGGGCGGTAAATGGGGATGGGTGGGAGGCACGTGCACCTTTCGTGCCTCTTTTGGGCCCCAGGGTGCCCCTTTCATGGCACCTTCAGAACGCAAAAGGTGCACCTTTCTCCCTCCCCATCACCATCCCCTCATTACGCGACGCCCGACCCGCAACATGTGGATCGGTGCCTGCACAGACGGTCTCGCTTAGCGAACGGAAGACGCTGGCGCACGCGGCATCACCTCCGACCACGGGACGAAGAATAAGCATGCGCCTCGCCCAAGCGGGCACGCACCTCTGGTAGTCAACCTGGAATCTGAAAAGACCGACATTTCGCTCATTGGCACGTGGCCTGGTTTGCACTAGGATTGGCGATCGGAGAAGATGTACACAGCCCAGGCGGGAACGTACTGCGCGTCGCTCGAGGGATAGCGGCGTCTCTTTCTCTCGGGCGCGGAAACGATTTCGACGACCTGGCTGACAAACAAGCAACATCACATTATCCCGGCAAAGCAACCTAATAGCGATGTGTAGGAGCATATCTGGAAGCATTCCCCTGAATATTCAGATGAGAATCCAGTTGTAGAATTCTGCTGTTCTCGCAGTCGTAGTCGCATTCGCGATGACAGTCGCAGTGGCAACGGCAGTCGCAGTCACAGCCTCAGCCGCCTGCCCCAGCATCAGCCTCAGCCTCAGCCTGCCTCAGCCTCAGCCTGCCTCAGCCTCAGCCTGCTTCAGCCTCAGCATCAGTCTGCCTTCAGCCTCGGCCTCAGCCTCAGCCTGCCTCAGCCTCAGCCTGCATCAGCCTCAGCCTCAGCCTCAGCCTCAGCCAGCCTGCCTCAGCCTCAGCCTCAGCCTGCTGCCTCAGCCTCAGTCCCTTCAGCCTCGGCCTCAGCCTCAGCCTGCCTCAGCCTCCTGCAGCCTCAGCCTCAGCCTCAGCCTGCCTCAGCCTGCCTCAGCCTCAGCCTGCCTCAGCCTCAGCCTGCCTCAGCCTCAGCCTCAGCCTGCCTCAGCCTCAGCCTCAGCCTGCTTCAGCCTCAGCCTGCATCAGCCTCAGCCTCAGCCTCAGCCTGCCTCAGCCTCAGCCTCAGCCTGCCTCAGCCTCAGCCTCAGCCTGCTTCAGCCTCAGCCTCAGTCTGCCTTCAGCCTCGGCCTCAGCCTCAGCCTGCCGCAGATTGTCGCAGCCTCAGCCTGCATCAGCCTCAGTCTCAGCCTCAGTCTGCCTCAGCATCAGCCTGACTCAGCATCAGCCTGCCTCAGCCTCAACATCAGCCTGCCTCAGCCTCAGCCTCAACCTGCCTCAGCCTCAGCATCAGTCTGCCTTCAGCCTCGGCCTCAGCCTCCGCCTGCCTCAGCCTCAGCCTGCATGAGCCTCAGCCTCAGCCTGCCTCAGCATCAGCCTGCCTCAGCCTCAGCATCAGCCTGCCTCAGCCTCAGCCTCAGCCTGCTTCAGCCTCAACATCAGCCTGCCTTCAGCCTCGGCCTCAGCCTCAGGCTGCCTCAGCCTAAGCCTGCATCAGCCTCAGCCTCAGCCTCAGCCTGCCTCAGCATCAGCCTGCCTCAGCCTCAGCCTCAGCCTGCCTCTGCCTCTGCCTCTGCCTGCTTCAGACTCAGCCTCAATCTGCCTTCAGCCTCGGCCTCAGCCTCAGCCTGCCTCAGCCTCAGCCTGCCTCAGCCTCAGCCTGCATCAGCCTCAGCCTCAGCCTCAGCCTGCCTCAGCCTCAGCCTGCCTCAGCCTCAGCCTCAGCCTGCCTCAGCCTCAGCCTCAGCCTGCTTCAGCCTCAGTCAGTCTGCCTTCAGCCTCGGCCTCAGCCTCAGCCTGCCTCAGCCTCAGCCTGCATCAGCCTCAGCCTCAGCCTCAGCCTGCCTCAGCATCAGCCTGCCTCAGCCTCAGCCTCAGCCTCAGCCTCAGCCTGCCTTCAGCCTCAGCCTCAGTCTGCCTTCAGCCTCGGCCTCAGCCTCAGCCTGCCTCATCAGCCTCAGCCTCAGCCTCAGCCTCAGCCTCAGCATCAGCCTGCCTCAGCCTCAGCCTCAGCCTCAGCCTCAGCCTCAGCCTCAGCCTCAGCCTCGGCCTCAGCCTCAGCCTGCCTCAGCCTCAGCCTCAGCCTCAGCCTCAGCCTGCAGCCTCAGCCTCAGTAGCCTCGGCCTCAGCCTCAGCCTGCCTCAGCCTCAGCCTGCATCAGCCTCAGCCTCAGCCTCAGCCTGCCTCAGCATCAGCCTGCCTCAGCCTCAGCCTCAGCCTGCCTCAGCCTCAGCCTCAGCCTGCTTCAGCCTCAGCCTCAGTCTGCCTTCAGCCTCGGCCTCAGCCTCAGCCTGCCTCAGCCTCAGCCTGCCTCAGCCTCAGCATCAGCCTGCCTCAGCATTCAAAATGTGGCCCGGGAATGGAGTTCTGGGAACTCGAAGAACACGAAGTGGCCTACAGTTGGCTCCGGGCATTCAAAATCATGCCCAGGAATGGAGTTCTGGGAACTCGAAGACCACGAAGTGGCCTACAGTTGGCTCCGGGCATTCAAAATGTGGCCCGGGAATGGAGTTCTGGGAACTCGAAGAGCACGAAGTGGCCTACAGTTGGCTCCGGGCATTCAAAATGTGGCCCGGGAATGGAGTTCTGGGGTCTCGAAGAGCACTGGCTCCGGGCATTCAGAATGTGGCCCGGGAATTGAGTTCTGGGACCTCGAAGACCACGAAGTGTGTAACTGTTTGCTTAAAACGACTTCCGCGGCTTCTCCCCGGCACCCGCCCAGACCCCCCTGGGGAGTCAAGATGCTCTCTTTTGACACTACTAGAAACCTATCAGTCTTCGCTGTTAGGTAAAAACGTTCGCCGCACCCAAGCAGTGGCTCCACTCCCAAGGTAAATTAACGCAACGTTGGTGCGAGGGTGGCATTCCGCCGCTTCGCGTGCGATGTGCGCCGCGCCCCCATTCAAGCCACACCATCTGCAACGCCCGCGTTAAAAACGTCCAGGTTGAAATAACAACCTGATGCAGTCACGCACCCCGACCTTAAAACACATGCGGACATGCGTGAAGTGGGGAAGGTTGGTGCGGATGGGAAGAGAAGAGCCAGGCAGCAAGATAATACAACGGAGGAACAAAGAAGGGGAGAAGAGGGAGTGACATGCTGTTTCCCCCGTTGCCAATTTTTCTAGAAGGAAGCGCCTTTGAGCCTGGGAGAGCATCTTTGAAGTCTCTTGGGGCGTCCTGGACTCTTCCTGGGGGCTATCTTGTTGAGCGTCTTGGAGGCGATTGGGAGGTCCTGGGGGTCGCTTAGGGGACTTCTTCTGTTGTTTGCGATAATGTTCAGTTCAATCGATGCTTGCTCTACAGGAGTCTTTACTGACTGACTTCACAGGAATCTCGAAATTGCACCCGGCTCTACCAGGGTCTAGATTACGGCAAGTTCGCGCCGTATCGACCCTAGCGTTGGTTTCTGACACCGCGTGGGCGATCGGCCGTTTCCGAACCGCCAGATCCTTCAACATCGACCGGTTCTGGGTCCCAAGCGGCGTTCAACACTGAACGCCGGCGGCGAGGTCGCCGCTGCCCGACACGACGCGAACCTGCCGTAGTCGCAGCCCCCGCGACACCACAGTCGGCCGGTTGCGACGACAGGCTCTCGAGCCTGCCGGGCGGACGCCCGGGCACTCGAGACGCCGAGCGGTCTCAAGTGCGCCGGACACGGTCACGCCACTGGCACAGCGGCGTTTGCAACGACAGGAGGAGGAGGAGGAGGAGGAGGAGGAGGAGGAGGAGGAGAGGAGGAGGGGGAGGAGGAGGAGGAGGCGGATGAGCAGGAGGTCGCTCAGAGGACTCCGGCGATGCGGCATCCTGAGTGCTACTGCAGAGCCCTCGGCCAGAGCATCAACCCATGGATTAAACCATGATGGAACTGAACCTTTCGGCCCTGGCGTAAACAACAAGTTCCCAAATGCTTGCCACGAGGTATGAAGACGCCCCGTGATAGTTCCCACAACTCTCGTGCCGCCAGTGAGGCGATGCGATGAAAAGGCAGGTCCAGGGGAGGGGGTCGATGCCTCCAGCGCTCACTGGTGGCCGCCGAGGAGTGGGCTCCTCATTGCATTCTAAACTGCACGCCTCACGTCACTTACAGCGGCCGTGGGGGGACGAGCCGATCTTTGAGTTCGACCTCTCCTGGTGGTGGGGGACTCTGCTGGCAATGGCAGTGTTCTGTGTTCATCGTGCAGGCCTTGTGCACTTGCCAGTGGGCTTTAGCCAGTCCAATATACACAACCATGAGAGGGGAGGGCTCAATCCTTGTAAATATTGCTTGTGGCACTTGCGGCCGTGGCGTGGCTTCTCTGGAATCCAGTCTTCAGTAAAGCTGGATAGTTACGCGAATGATGTCGCGGCTGGCAGGCGGGACCCCACGGGGCCACCTCCTACAATCGGCACGGCCCCTGCGGGGGCGGGCGCGGGGCGTCGGGGCCTCTGGGCCTACGCCCCGCTATCGCCACCTTGCGACTGCCACGTTTTGCTCCGACCTCACTGCGTCTTGATTCGACTTGCTATATTTCTCTTGAAGCACATCTGGGCGCCCGAATTATCCGGGATAACTGCGGTCCTGGGTAGCTCCGGTTTGGGCCCCCGAGGCACGAACCCGTAGCTACCCCTGACTGCCCCTAGCCCCGATGATTTGGGAGGGTCGGGCGCCTGAATCATCTGGCTCTGATACGCCGTCACATGTTGTCTCCACCGGCGCATCTTGACTGCACGGTGAGGAACCTGGTCATTCTGGCCGCGATGGGTCGCAACATGTTCCCTGGCAGGCAGGATCAAGACTGCCCAGTCTTTGAACAGCACCAGAATTCACTCTTGCTGGGCCTGCTGGTTTTCGGGCTACAACTCGGGCCCCCGGCTGCAGTTCGGGACGATCCTGGCACCCCTGGAACGCTCGCGGCGAGGCGCAGCCGCTGGAAGGCATCCTGAGGCCAGGAAACCGCCGAGCACGGCCGAGCACCTCGAACCTCGAACCTCGTACTCCACCCCTCGTCCCCCCTCCTCCCCTCGTCCCGGCGGCCGGAAAACTCTTTGGCTTCCTTTGGCGTCGCCTGTGCGGCACACGCCGGTGCGGGCTTCGGGAACACCTCCACGGCCAGCGGCGTGCCCGGCGCTGCGAGAGGCGGGCCGCTGGGCCGCTCCACGGTGGGCGGGGTGCCCGGCGCCGGCTGCGCCGACGCGGGCCTGCTTGAGGGGCGGGGCGCCAAGGGCGGGCCCGGGGGCCAAGAAGCCACCCCCGGGCCCCCGCCGGGACGCCCTGGATCACCAGGTCTGGGGGTCTGGGGTAGGGGTCCTGGCGGGGGGTCTCCCAAATGGGGTCCGAGTAGATGGGCTCGGGGGATCGCGCCGCATCGCCGATGCATCGACGGTGGATTGGCGGTGCGTCGGCGACGTCCGCGATGCATCGATGCCGTCTGCGTGGAGAAAATCGGGCTCCGCGTCAAGCCGCATCCCCGATGCATCTGCGATGCTGCTCGAACTCCGACCGCATCTACTCGGACCCCATGTGGGAGGCCTGGACACACCCGTAGAAAGACAAAACAATGACTCCGTGCCCACACCACTTCCCCCCGAGATTCACAGCTGGTGCGAGGCATTCGGGAGCACGGGCGTGAGATGACAGAAAGCTGTACCCCCATGGCCTCCACTGGGGCCAAAGGCCAACTTTGAATCTGGGGGGTAGGGGGGCGGCGAAGACGGGTCGAATACAAAGTTGTTCAACTTTCTTCCCAGAAAGGGCGGGGGCCCAGGTTTTCTTTTTCCTGGAAAGGGCCTGAGCCCAGGGTTCTCTTTTAGTTGGTTTCCCCCCAGTTTTGACGGCTGTAGGGCCGGCGACTTTCTTTTGCGATAAATAACGAGGTCGCGTAGGGCCGGCGAATTAAAAATTGAGGATGTCCCTTGCGAAACGCTTGTTTTTCAGAATTTGTTGAGGATGTCTCGAGCGAAACGCTGGTTTTGCAGAGTTGGGGATGTCTCGAGCGAAACGCTTGTTTTCAGAATTTGTTGAGGATGTCTCGAGCGAAACGCTGGTTTTGCAGAGCCGACCGCGACGCGGAAAAGCACCCCGCGCGCAGGAATTCCGATGATGTTTCGCGCGTGCCGCGTCCCGCGCGCAGGAATTTCGAGGATGTCTCTACTAATGCGTTTGTTGTTCGAGGATTTCCTTGAATTTTGGCAGGATGTCTCGAGCGAAATGCTTGTCTTTCATAATTTGTTGAAGACGTTTCGAGCGAAGCGCTGGTTTTGCAAAATTGGGGGATGTCTCGAGCGGGGGCCTCGTGGGGGGCCTCGTGGGGGTCCAGAATTCAGAGGATGTCTCAGGCGAAATGCTTGTTTTCACGTCCCGCTCGCAAGAATTCCGAGGATGTCTCGCGCGTGCCGCGTCCCGCGCGCAGGAATTCTGAGGATGTTGGCAGGATGTCTCGAGCGAAACGCTTGTCCCCAGCACGTTCCGTAGCGCGTCCCCTTGGCACGTCCCGCGGTGCGTCCCAATGGCACGTCCCTTGGCACGTCGCTTGGCGGGTCCCTTGAGACGTTCCGCGTCGCGTCCTCCTGGCATGTCCCCTTGTCAATTAGCTCTGGGGCAGCTACTATGTGTTCAGGCAGCTCGAGCTTAAGATCCAGATCAGTTCGGTCAGGACTCGGATGCAAAGGAGGACTCGATCCACGAAGCTAGAGCACAATCGCGGCATGGCACATCGCAATTCAGCACGGCGCAGCACAGGACAGATTTCGGCACGGTACATCAAGATCGATACACTCAGCATTGCAACTTGGCACGTTCCTTGGCACGTTCCGTGGGGCGTCCCTTGGCGAGTCCCCCTGGCACGTTGCGTGGCGCGTCCCCTGGCACATCCCGTGGCACATCCATTGGCACGTTCCGTAGCGCGTCCCCTTGGCACGTCCCGCGGTGCGACCCCATGGCACGTCCCCTGGCACGCCGCCTGGCGCCATCCCTTGGGACGTTTCGCGGCGCGTCCTCCTGGAATGTTCCCCTGTCAATTAGCTCTTGGGCAGCTACTATGTGTTCAGGCAGCTCGAGCTTAAGATCCAGATCAGTTCGGTCAGGACTCGGATGCAAAGGAGGACTCGATCCACGACGCTATAGAGCACAATCGCGCCATGGCACATCGCAATTCAGCACGGTGCAGCACAGCACAGCCCTCGGCAGGGTACATCAAGCTCGATACACTCAGCATTGCATGTGCCCGTCACCCAATCAGTTGTCTTTGAAAACGTTGCCATGCGTTACATTTCAATATTCCTTTCCGGGTTCGTGGGTCGATCATGTTAGTTGATAACTGTGCCGGCCCTCAATTTGCGTAGGCTGGCGAATACTGCCTTTGCTTGATAACAAAGTCGCGTAGGGCCGGCGAAATATGTGTTGAGGAAGTCTCGAACGAAATGCTTGTGTTACATGACTCGTCGAGGATGTCCCAGGCGGAACGCTTGTATTGCGGAGTTTCAGGGTTCCTCGCGCGAAACGCTTGGTCAGCGGAATCCATTGAGGATGTCTCGAGCGAAACGCTTGGTTTGCAGACTTTTGGGACATGCGTCTTGCGCTTCTGCACTTAGCACGTTTTCACGTGTCCAGGCCACGTCGGGCCCTGTGCCTGAGCAAACTGCGAGGATGTCTCGAGCGAGAGCCTCGTCTGAGACTGAATTGCAAGAGGTCTTGAGCGGGGGCCACGTCTGGGGGGAGGAGGAGGAGGAGGAGGAGGAGGAGGAGGAGGAGGAGGAGGAGGAGGAGGAGGAGGAGGAGGACGAGGAGGAGCAAGAGGAGGAGGGGAGAAGAAACTGAAACCGTGTGTATTTTCATGGGTCCCTGTCGCCAGCGAAATGAAACCAAGCACATGAATTCCTGTCGCCCGCGGGCTCAAACCATGTCTTCTTATGTGGATCACGAACGCCCGTGAACTGAAACCACTTGATTCCCCAAAAGGCTCTGGCACAACATTTTCTCTTAGTCTTGTAACTGTGCCAGCCCTCGACTTGTGTAATTCCGGCGAATTTTCGCCCGACGAGAAATATGGTAAAGTATCATTTCCAATCGAAGCAAATGTATGTTTCGTAATGTTTCACGCGTGGTCCGCAGACCCATGCGTCCATCAAAAAAACGAGGCGGAACGTTTTGCGAAGAATACTCGTGAGAGGTGCTTTGAACTTCTGGGGAGAGATAGTTGAGAGAGCTGATTGTGTGCGTGCCCGCGCGAGGACGCGTCGTCCTGCGCGCAGACTATTCGAGGATGTCTCGAAGGAAACTAATGTTTTAAAGAAACGCTTCAGGTCGCCCAGGCGGATGTCTAACTTGATGACTTGTTGGGGATGTCTCGGGTGACGCGCTTGTTTTGCAGGTGTCCAAGTCGCCCGGGCTGATATCTAGCACGAGGATTTTTGGAGGATGTCTCGAGCGAAACGCCTGTTTACACATGGGTACATTTCGCCCGTGGGCCGAAACCATGTGTTTGTTTTTGTTATGGGTTCCTTTCGTTTGTGAGCTCGAACCATCTGCTTTAACATGGGTTCCCCTCGCCCGTGAGCCAGAACCTTGTGTTTAACACGAGTTCTATTCGCCCATGGGCTCAGACCACGTGCTTTCACATGGATTCCTTTTCGCCCTTGAGCCAAAACTATGTGTTGTTACATGGGTTCCTTGCGCCCATGAAAGCACACCGAGTTGCGCCCGCCCGATCAGCGGGCGGGCTTGTGACGAATGCGCCCCTCTGGGGCCTCGGGAGGGGCGCGCACTTTCTGCGCGGCATCGGCCACGAAAAGGTGCTGCACACACTCGGTGTCGCATCGCATTGTTTTTCAGATAATTACCCCTCTGGGGGGTTCCGCTGGCCCGAGCTCTTGTTCAACTGTCGGTGCGTTTCGCCTCGGTTCGGATTCGCCCCCTCTTACTCCGTGCCGCATCGGAACTGAATCGGATCTCGAATTCGAGCTGGTTGAGCGCCCCGCGCGCTTCGATTGCAACCAACTCTGGGCGAGCTATGCGTTCAGGCAGCTCGAGCTTAATATATATATATATATATATATATATATATATATACTAGAACCATCGCGAGCGCTTCGCGCGCGCTCAGGTTCTAGCCCAGGCCGGGGGGGCGCTGGACGATCTTGGACAACGCTATCAAGCACAGGCGCGCGACGGCATCTGAGGAGCTTCTGGGGTGTTCCACATGCTTCGTCAACTGGCTGTTGGAGGCACCTCTTGGGTGCCTCTTGGGGGGACGTCTGAGGGTCCCTTGGGGGCATCGGTTCTGCAATCTGAAGCCGTCATTGGCCGTCTTGGCTGCGTGGAGGCCCGACTTGAGGCCACCTGCGGCCAGATTGAGGCAATCCGGAAGCCTCCCGGGGGCCTCCTGGAAGCAGTTTTGATGCATTTGGGGCACTCTTGGGCTATTTTAAAACCTCTTGGACGTCTCCCAGGGGCCTTTTGGGCCCTCGGGGAGCTTTTGGGGTCCTCGTCGGACCACTTTGGGGCCTCTTGCAGCCTCCTGTGGGCCTTGTGGGGGGACCGCTCTGCTGTTGGGTCGCGTTCCCCTTCTCGGGCCTCTCTTGGGGCTCTTGGGGCCCTCTCGGGCCGTCTTGGGCGCCTCAAGCACCGTCTTGGGGCCCTCGCGGGCCGTCTTGGGGCCCTCTTGGAGGCCTCTTCCTCTATGTGGGAGCGGTATTGGAAGCCTTTGGGGCCGTCTTGGAGCATCGGGATGCCAAAAGGCCGAAAAAAAAAAACGTCAAAGCCCAATCGTAAAACAATGAGTTGTGCCTCTTGGGGCCACCTTGGGAGATCTCTTGGAGCCTCGTCGGCCCTCTTGGGAGCTTCTTGGGGGCCTCTTGGATCCGATTGGGGGCCTCCTGGGACTTCCCGAGAACCTCTCGGGGTAGAAAGCTCGGATTCTCGGTTCATGTTTCCCTTCTTGGGCCTCTCTTGGGGCCGTCTTGGGGCCCTCTCGGGCCGTCTTGGGCGCCTCAGGCACCGCCTTGGGGCCCTCGTGGGCCGCCCAGGGCCCTCTTGGAAGCCTCTTCGGCTATCTTGGAGCTGTCTGGGAGGCCTCTTCCTCCTCCTCGTCCCCCTCCTCCTCCTCCCACTCCAGCTCTCTCTCTCTCCTGATCTTCCTCCTCCTCCTGCAGCGTGTTCCGGAAGGCTCCCGCCGGAACATGCTGTGCACAAGTGCTGTCAC